ATAAATATGTGGGTATATATGTGGTTTAATGGTCGAGATTAAAGATACATTATGGGAGATATTTATAGAGAGTTGGCCATTCTTGCTATAACAGTTCAAAAGTAGATGATGAAAGAAGAATATATTGAAAAATTCAGTCAAATTACTTTATTCTGAACATAGTTATCATCGTTGTAATATTTGCCTAGAAATGGTAGCGAAATGTGTCTTCACCTTCGCCAAACGTTTGATTGACAGGCGTTAACTCCACCTACATATCTCGATTATCAAGTAAAGTTTTCAATGGCATACGGAAACGCTTTACAGCGGCCTCGCTAAGTACACTCTATCATTTAGCCTCGATCTAACTGACGTATTTTCATCAGGTTACCCCTTATCTGATTTAATCAATTAGTGAAATCCTATTTAAATCCGAGCTGTAGCCGAGCCATCCGTGGGTCTACAGAGTTGATTTTGGTCTTGTTGTTTAAATAAAGATCTAATTTATAATTTCTATAACATCTGAAGCCTAAATTAAGACATGCAATAATCAGATTTAGCTCTTGCATAATGCATGTTTAAGTAATATATTGATACAGCGCAAGGATGTTAGTCAAAGTGTATTTTAATATAATACGTGATATCTTGCTTGAGACCATTAAACAACTTAAAATACAGACACTATACCGCATGTGCCTTTCAATGAAATGGTCACGTGAGTTCAATGTACGACTGGCAAGTTGAAATATTGGTACACCAACATTAAAGGATGACGTCACATCTATATTTTAAATATATTTATGATAATATTAATTTATAGCAAACAACTTACTCAAAATCAGGCATATTTTAACAGTTCAACAGCTAAGGCAGTTACTTGAGTTCTGTTTGTCAAATGTTGTAAAATTTAGAAGTTCGTACCTGAGATGATGATAATTGTATATTGTAGATATGGTGAGAGAAGCTAATGGTTGTGTTTTAGTTCATTGTTTAGCTGGTATATCTCGTTCACCAACTCTAGCTATTGCCTTCGTCATGAGGCATCTTAAAATGATGTCAGAAGATGCTTATAGGTGAGTTTATTCAACAGATCAATTCTTTTCAAATATCTAGTAACGTACAGTGAAATCTTGTGTGAACTTTAGATCATAAGGTCTGTCATTGAGTCAAGTATCATGGTTTCGCTCCCACACTTGTACTTGACAAGGAGAAGGGTCATCTGTCAAACTTTGTGGGTTTTCTACAGGTTCTCCGGTTTCTCCCCACTGCTAAAGACCCCTACACTCAAGAAAATTATTGAAACAGAATTTTACCAGTGTTTAACATCCCACTTTTCAGCATCAACCAGGCTAATGAAGACGGTCATACAATGTGTTATGAGAGAAATTTGCCAGACAGCGCATCTACGACCTACTCTCATTTTCAATTCCAGCTGTCAAGACTTCTTTTACGAGCACGTCAACGTACACACATGCCCTTGATTTTCCGTTCCATCTGAACGACTAGACACTCTTGCTTGCCAGGCCCTCTGTCCTGCACCACAGACAAGGGGAAACCACTCTCGAAAATCCTGAGACCTCCTGGTTAGAGAGCTCACTGAGCCACTGTATATATTATTAACATATTTATTTTCCATTAGATTTACTAGATTTTTTATTTTATTTACAGATATGTTAAAGATAAAAGGCCAACAATATCACCAAATTTTAACTTTCTTGGTCAACTTCTTGAATATGAAAAGAAATTACTTCATGGGGAAATAGAAGAAGATTTAGAAAAAGAAGCGAGAGCGTCTAAGCGAAACAGTTGGCCAAGTCCGTTTGTTATGGATTTACAAACTTCTAGTCCGTCATCACCACACGCCAAACCTGTAAATAAATCGCTGTTTGTGTTTGATACATATACATCATTTGATGTTAAATCACACAATGAGTTTTTGGTGTGTGAGGATGTTGTTATGGCCGATAAACATTCTGAATGTTCTGCTAGTAAAACTTGTGAATTTGGATCTGTGTCTACAAGTGAAAGTGTGGTAGTAAAAAAATCAAAACATATCAATGAGGTTGAATCTTGTGAAGTCGAGTTACGGAAACCTGTCTCAGAAATGTCCAAAAATGAAGATTTTGATACTGTAAACAGAGAAACTGTTTCAAAATCGAAAACATTAAAGTTATCATTGGGAGTGAAACCTATGGCATCAGCCAATCTGGCAAGCCCAGACAGCCCACCTATGATGAGATCCCATCGAATGAAACGACCCATGTCATTGGATGGATTATCAACTTTCATAACAAATAGAAGTCATCCGCTGGTTCGTTCGGGGCTACAACGGAAATCAAATACTAAACCCTATTCTGGTCCTGGACAATCAAATACACGGCGTCCTTTGTCACTCAATGGTTTATCGTCATGTCATCGAATGCAAACAAATTATTTATCTTTTCCACTAAGTCGACCTGTGACTTTTGGTGGCTTGACAGCAAGGCCGAGCACTATCCATTCACCATCAGTCCCAGGATTTCCTAACGGACACGAAAAATTATTATCCACGAGTAACTCGTCTCTTTCATTTGAAACAAGGACTAGTCATAGAGCCAGGAGTTCTCAAACAATTGACAGAACTTCACCCTATGAATCACCCGATTTGTCTAGTACTGAAATTTTAAGTGATTTTGCCACCTCCCCAAATGGCTTTCCATGTGGTGCGAGTTCAATTCAAGGCTTTAGTAAAAGTTCATCTTCAAATTCAGGATTTCCATGTAAAAATAACGAAAATTCAGAACCAAGTCACAGTAGCTCTAGGACTGATACTGAGAATACATCATCTAGTTCCGGCTTTCCTTGTGGACAAAGCACTTTATCCAATTCTGGGCTTCCCAGTGGGTCCAGTACTTTGTCGAACTCTGGGTTTCCAAGTGGAACAAGTACGTTATCCAACACTGGATTTCCAAGTAGGCATGACAAAGGTAGCAGTTCTGGATTTCCAAGTAGTGATAGCTCTTTTTCAAACTCCGGTTTTACATGTGGACAAAACACTTTATCAGTATCTGGATTTCCAAGTAACCCAAGAAGTTTAGGCCTGTCTAAACATAGTCCTGAATTTGACAGACATGAATCTGTGATGAATTGTGGATATGAAAGTCAACACAGTGCTTTTTCACAAACAGGATATGAACAAACGATGGTGACAAATTCACCCAGCCGAATTTGTAACTCCAACTATTTGCACAGACAAAACAATGAGTTATCTGAGTTGTATGATAATTTCCCTATTGACGAGTGTAATTATGTGAGTAAAGTGAACTGTTTAAACAATTTAAATGCATTTCCTGATGGTTCTCAAAGCTTGGAGAAATTTTCAACCATATCAATGCAAAGTTCAGGAGAACATCATTGCATCCTGGGATCAAAACAAAATGCTTTGCCGCAACCTAAGAGCGAAATCGGTGAAACTAGCTTTATGAGTACGTCGTCTTTATCAACTGTCAAGAAAAAGCAAAAGTTTTATTCACAATCATGCACGAACATCAGCTCTCTTCAGTCTCCGACGATGGAGTTTTCTCTTCTTACAGTAATGGAAGATTCCACGGATTCAATCATGGTCCAGAAGGAATCCCAGATCCATAATTTTCCAGCTACCTCACTGGACAAACTTAATTTTACGCCATGTCTGGCAAGAGATTATGGTTCTGTGAAGCCAGTCTCGGGTATCAAGAGAAATATAAGTGCGACAGAGAGCGAAGTTAAATCTGATAATCATTCCCCAATGTCGATCAGTAGCAACTGTTCCGACAGTAGTTGTACCTCCATGTCCTCATATTCACCGACCTCTACGTGTAGCATCGGAAAAGTCATTTTACGCAAAGACAAGGTCCAAAAAATGGCATCAACAGAAATGAAAGGGTCTGAATTAGCATCACCAGGATCACTCGGAAGCAACTGTTCATCTCCTTCAAGTTCCAATCTTACATCACCAACAACTAATGCCACTAAGGTGATTTTACGTTCTCAAGATAATAAATCCAAACGATCTTTAGGGCGACCTAATAGCATCGCATTCTCAACTTACCCATCATGTGATCTTGGTTCTGACTGTCAGGACTCGCCAAGTTCTGCCAGTAGTGCATCACAGGACGACACATCAGAAGCTTACATGTTACGTAGCAACAAAAAATCAAAACCCAGCGAAATGTCTCCAGAAAAACGATCTTTATATGGACAATATTCAGAACGAGAATTTTACAAACAAATTAGTGCTGCTATGGAAAATGCCAAATTACGATTCCAGCAACCATTTGACTCCCGAAAAGTGCGTAGTCTGGACGATATTCTCAGTTCTGACAGTGACTCTAAGTTGCCAAGACGATTTCAGCCCACTTTGTTTGAATCTTTTCCATCTCGCTGTCGTGGATCATCGGACCCTTATCAGTCCTCTGGCAGCATATCGTCTAGTGGCAGTCATAGTTCGTTACATGGAAGTCATAATTCACTGCATGGTAGTCAGAATTCCTTTCATGGAAGTCAGAACTCACTACATGGAAGTATGGAAATTATTCAGGTATCTTAGCAACCCGTTGTTACATACACTTATTGTTTTAGTGCAATTAAGAAATTTTATTTTCATTCAATCTTAAAAATCCCTGTTTTAAAGTGAATCTCATAGTTCATGATATCAAATTGTTTGATTAAAATTCTAAACTAAAAAATTTAGTTTTTCATAAAAAAAAAAAACCATGAGAAAATAACATGATAAATTTTAAAAATTTATTGGAAATTATTTCGTTGGTTAAATGATTATTATTGAACTATGAGAGTCTCTTTTGGGGCTTTTTTTTTTTCAAAAATCATTTTAGTTTCTTTTTTTTATGTGTGTGGTATTGGTAGATGTGTTCAGTTTGGTTAGATTGAATTTGTGTGTTTTTAATTTATGTTAGAAAGCATGTGTTTGATGTTTCCCCATTAAAAATCACCAGCCGCTCTTTAAGAATGTATAATCTGGTAATTTAAGTTCTTTTTACCAGGTTAATATTCAAGTAAGGCCACACCAGTTCGATTTTCAAGTAAATGAATATTGGTTATAGTAGGCCTCCTAATAATAATAATTTACTGAACTTGTATAGTGCCGAACTCCAGATGGTAACCCTGCTCTGTGGTGCTTGTACGAAAAAAAACCCCAAAATACATGATTATAAACACATAGTATGAAAAAATATAGAATTACATTTTAAAATAACTTAAATTAAAAATAGCACAATACAGTTAGAAAATAACAAAAATAGCAAAATACAGACAGAATATCATAAAAAATTGTTTTAAATTTCTGGTAAGCAAGATAATAAAATTGAAAAAATAATAAAATAGCACATTACAGATAGATATCAAAAATAATTAGAATATTTTGAAAGTAATTAGGATTATTTTAATGTATCTAAATATGAATATTATCTGGATTATAAAATAGAAATTATAATAAATTTGGAATCTTTTGAGTAATTAGGATTATTTTAATGTATCTAAATATGAATATTATCTGGATTATAAAATAGAAATTATAATAAAGTAATTTGGAAATTTTTGAGTAAAAAACATTGCTGTCTTATGCAGTACCAATGACTTATCAGCTGTCATATCACCAACTAATTATCATCAACATAGATCATATAGTTTGTCATTGAGTCAAGTGGCTTGGTTGTCATCCCACACTTGTGAGTTTTCTCCAGGTACCCGTTGTTTTCCCACTACTAAAGACCCCCTATGACAAAACGAATTATTGAAATACAATTGCCCCAGTGAACGTTAACTTTTTCTAGGAATGGGATAATCGTGAAACTAAACATTGGATGATAAAGGGAAATACATGTAGCAATAAGATGGTACACAAATTAATTTGGAATTTGGACAAGCATGAAACTACCTGTGGCAATAAACATTCAAAATCTTTCCACGGAAAATTGAATAGCAGTTTTAATACACCTAAATTTAGATTTTTTAGTGAGGATTAGTTTCCCAGGATTATTGTCAGAAACACATAGAACATAGAATACTTTAACACAAGGCTGAAACAAAGATAGGAACCAGTAGCAATATGACATGAGAACTGAACAATTTATGCAAATTTGTACATACATATACATATGCATCATTATCATTTTGATTTGTTTAATATCACACCATCACAAATTATTTATTTTGTAAATAGGATAAAAAAAAAACCTTGTTATATAGATAAATTAAATAAGGTTAAACTGTGTCCAAATGTTTATGACTGTGAAATGTACATGTAAGTTGAAATTTGTACACCATGAGTAAAAACAGTAAGGGATGCTAGATTTTGATAGTAAGAAGCAGCAAATTGTAATTCGATGACAATGTGTATATTTTATGTAGATAAGGCTTTTATTTGCATCATTTAAACTTGATTTTGTACCAAATTTAATGCACTTTTTCAAGAGAAAATATTTGTCTTGAAAGAGTTGATTCTTTTATTGTTTCAAAAACAATCAAAATATGTTTGTATCATAGTTGTTTCGAATATAATTTATTCCTATAAAAAGAATTAAATTCAAATTTTTTTCTGTTTTTGGTTTTTCTTCTCAACTTAATAGAAATTACCAAATATTTTTCTAAATATTCTTGATTTCAACATGTTTTTGAAAATTTTAATTCATTCAAATTAAAAGAAATAGTGGATTTGTTTGGATCTGATATATTGATAGATGTCTTTGCCTGGTATACTAATGAAATTGAGATTTCTCAGTCATTTTGGGGGGAGGGGGGTGGATGGCTGAATGGTTAGCGTGCGCGCGCTGTATCATAAAGTCTGTCATTGAGTCGACTGGCATGGCTTCGAATCCTCGGTTGTACGTGACAAGGAGTAGGGTCGCCTGTCCAACCTTGTGGGTTTTCTCCGGGTCCTCCGGTTTCCTCCCACTGCTAAAGACCCCTATGCGCAAGCGAATTATGTAAATAAAATTAAACCATGTTAGTCCTGAAATGACCTAGTTTGTGTCGAGTGGACGTTAAACCCCATTTCTCTCTCTCTCTCTCTCAGTCATTTTTACGTGAGTTTGTGTCCCTGACAATAAAACCTTGAATGCAATCTACGTGTATGTGTTCAGATCACTGTGATGTATTTCAGGATTGTTTGAATAAACATAAAGAAGAATAGTATCAAAAACTGAGAATCTGCCACAATTTTAAGGGTAGTTATTGCTCATGACCCCCAACAAAATTTAAAAAAACCCCAAAACACTTCAAAATACTGTTACTGGGCATATATGTATATTCTTTGCCTGACAACGCTGTGTTTTGGGGGATCAAAACTAAAAGTAGTTGAAAGATGGATTTTCTGTTTATTTAAAATGAATATTTTGTACCAGTAATTGAGAATTCAATTTATCAGATCTGATCAATTCCGCATTTTAAGAGAACCCGGCCCCAAGTTCACAAAGCATTCTCAGACTTAAGTTCAGAATTTACCCAACTTTTAATCACTGTTTATGAGAAATATCTTTGTTCCAGAAACATAAAACCTTGCACATAGTTTCTTATTGATGTATTTGATACATTAAAACAACAAAAACTTTATAAAGGGCTATATTTTAGTTAAAAAAAGGCGAACAATTTTGAGTAAATTCTTAACAGAAATCTGAGAATGCTAAGTGAAAAGGCTATTTTATACATTTATATGTTTTTGAACCAAGTTTATTTTGTTATGATATTTGTTTGTGCCCTGTTATTTATTTATTTTGTGATTACTTCACTTTTATTTTGTTTATCCCATTAGATTATTATCATTTATTAGAAACATAGCAGCCATGAACACGGGCAAAGGCACATTTCAAACTAAATATTTAACTGGCTGTATTGTTTGTGTTTTGTATTTCTTTGCATGAATTTTATTTTATTTTGATTGTACAATTATAGAATATTTAGAAGAAGGCAGAACAGATTAAATATGTTAGAAGTATTCATAAGGTTTCCCTGTAGTTAGTCTTAAGGAAACACCAATTTGAATTTCTGTTTTCCGGGAACATCTATTAAAAATTCTGCCTCCAGTTTTCTCTTGATAAAAAACAACCTAATTTTAAAACAAACAGTGCTTACAAATGTGGTTGGTTTTCTGAAAAGCTTTTAATTCCAAATATTTAAGTTTTGAAATTTGAACAAAACGCAGCACAAAAGAATTGAGTGGGTGATTTATTCATCAAAAGCCCCAAGAACTGAAAATTTAGTTGTTTTGGCCTGATTTCAAAATCTCTTAATGAACTGGCCTTCATTAACTTTTAAAACAAGCAGAAACAGTTGACCATGCAATTGATGGAAGCGTAAGGGCTTTAAAAACAGTTGACCATGCAACTGATGCCAGCATAAAGGCACAAGAGTAGCACTGAAAATTTAGAGCTTGAGGTTTTTCAGGTGATTTTAGGAGAGAATTTCTTGCCACAGAAAGTTACAAGTTATAATCCGTCCGATTCTTAGTCAAACATATCATATGCATAAGAAAAAAATTTCCATTTTCCAAAATCTGATGCCTATAACTAGTATGTTTAGTCTTTTGTGCCTTGCTTCTATGTTGTACCTTTTTAAAGAGACCTTCAGAAACTTGTTGGCTACATGCCTGTATCCTTTCCTGGCCCCAAAAAAGTAGGATTACGGTATTATCATACTGGTGTCTTATACAATTCAATTTGATTTAAATAAGTTCAAGCATATTTTTATATTTAATTGCCCCTCAAGTTTGATAACTGTATGATCGGAACAGTGGGGTTAATTTTGATGGTCAGTATTTGAATTTAGGACATTGGACAAATTTATTATCAAGCCAAACTTGTATATTCTATTACCCCACAAGTTTGACAACAATGATAGGAACAGTGGAGTTAATTTTCATTTCTTGTCAATATTTTAATTTAGGACTTTGGACAAATTTATTATCAAGGCAAATTTTTTCTGTACATGTATCGTAGTCTTAGATTATGTGCGGATATCTAATGTGTATATATTTTTCTGATTCTCCTGCTGTATCACTGTTGCATTTGAGTCTGCATTGTCAGACTTTTATTTGCTAGTACTTGTTTTTTTTTGAGTCAGGGTGGGCCCTGTTAATTGCCAGCAATAATGAGCTGGGGTTTTTTTTACAAATTTTTTATATCCTATTTTAAGATGATAAATCATCAGTGACACCATAGCTTTACAATACTGTATATATATGTAGGAATATATGGAATTTCCACTGAATTACAAAAGTTTGACCCCAAAGTTTTTTTATTCACAATTCTCGGTTTGGAATATCTATATACAGAAAGTTAATTTTTGGGAATAAGTTTATAAAATGTTATTTATGAATATGAAATATTTATATATTTGTTGATTTGATTTGATTTTTGTTATGAAATCTGAATTTGAATGCATGTTAAATGTTAACAAAATTGTTATTGGTAAATAAAATGTAAGTATAAAATATTATATTAATTTGTCTTTTTTTCTTTCTCTCTCAAGCTGCCACGTTAGAATTTGGTAAGTGATTTTTAACTCAGGATTTTGGGGTGATCATGTGCCTTATTGTGTGCATTGACAACCTCATACACCATTGGATGATTGATGTTCATGGTAGCCAATTGAATGCATCGTTAAATTACATAACCAGCATATGGAATACTACGCTGTTTTTGATTGGTGTATATTTCATTTAACGAACACCTCAAATCATGAATGGATAAAAAATATATAAGACTGTTTTTTGTTTTATTTATACTATAAAAATTTATCTTTTTTTTTTTTTTTTTGTTTTTTTTTTGTGAAATATTTTCTATAGAAAGTTTTAATTAGATGTTTTTCAAGATTTTTATACCTAAGAATTTCATTATTAATTGTTATCACGTCACAAAGTCTTTTCGTCTTTAATTCCACATTTATTTTTTTAAAGATTTAGAATTTAGAACTCCAAAACAAATATTTGTGTTTGTTTTGAAAGCAAGTTGACGTAGAATGTTGTAAAGATTTGACGTTTTCTAGTTCAATAACCTTGAGCTCTT